ACATTTACCTGGCAATGTAAGCGGGATACCGGGATATTATCATTTACCTGGCAATGTAAGCGGGATCCCGGGATAAAACATTTACCTGATAATGTTGCGGAATACCGGGATATAAACATTAAACTGGCAATGTTGCGGAATACCGAGATAAAAACATTTACCTGGCAATGTTGCGGGATACCGGGATAAAAACATTTACCTGGCAATGTAAGCGGGATACCGGGATATAAACATTTACCTGGCAATGTAAGCGGGATACCGGGATAAAAACATTTACCTGGCAATGTTGCGGAATGCCGGGATATAAACAGTTACCTGGCAATGTAAGCGGGATACCGGGATAAAAACATTTACCTGGCAATGTTAGCGGGATACCGGGATATAAACAGTTTTTTCAACCTTCGGACAAACATTCAAAATTAAAATAAAAAAATAAAAATCCAAATTATGTCGACAAACTACAAATAAGTTTGGAAAAAAATAAAAATAAAATTTATGTTGGCAAACTATAAATAAGTTAAGTAGAACAAAAAACAGGAATTGTTAATAATAATCTAATTAAGGACAAAACAAAGAAATAAAAATAAACTGAAAAAAATCAGGAATTCTTTTTTAATTGAATAAATAATTGTTTGAATGAGTTCCTGAGTCTGTTTGCCATATCATCATCTTCACCACCCCAGCCCCAGAACATGTTACTGAACCCATTCACCAGCCTGCACAGAACAATAGACATATCCTAACAGGTGTATATATTTTCTAGAAAAATCACCCCTCCTCCTCCCTCTCCACCACTATTTTTTCAGGAATGAAACATTCGCGATATGAGGAGAAAATAAATTATTCTTGGGTAAACACTAAACACTATCAAAAGTCCCCGAATAAAAATCATGTCCAAAATTCTTTTCTTTAAAAATAATTTTTTCACTATTATATTCTCATCCATCCTAAGGGGTGGAACAAAATTGTGAAATAAAAACTTTTAACCGAGACCAAATAATATTGGTTAATTTATTCGAATAGATAAAATCTGCAACCGGACGATTTCCAGCTAAACAAAGCTCAAAGGGGTAAATTCTAGGGAAAATTGCAGAGACTCATACGACCCAAATTACGGAGAGAAAAACTAGAAAAAGGCAAATTTTAGACAAACATTCTACAAAGGATAACAAATACAAGGGAGACAAACCCTCCAGTGTTCAGGATCCATTTTATTTTGATGCAAATCTGGATCCTGGATCCGCCCAGAAAAAATGGGTACGGATCCATAATCTGTTTTTTCAATTAGTTTTGAGAGCAAAACGTTGTTTTGATAGGTTTTCTTCGGCCTTTTTATACCCTTGGATCCGGATCAGAGAACCCAACAATTTCCGGGTTAACAAACTCCTATAGGATAAAACTTAACCCAGGTCAGAATTGACGCTAACCATGTACTAGAGAGGAGAGTAGAATAGAAGAAAGATTGGTGCATATGGAGATACAGAACCATTATGAATGACAGTGAGGGATGCTGCCTCCAAGGCGGAGAAGATGATGGATGAGTTCTCTGTAGAGCACACAGATACATATGGTGTGTATCCATAAGCAGTCTGCCTTGTTTCCAACTACGGGCAGAGTTCCATAAGTAGTCTGCCTTGTTTCCAACTACGGGCAGAGTTCCATAAGTAGTCTGCCTTGTTTCCAACTAGGGGGGTAATCGTACAAAAACTAGGGATTGATTTTAAACAAAATTAATGCCAAAATGTAAATTCAAAATAAAATCACAATGGAATGGTTAGAAAAAAATTAAAGTAGATTTTTCGACTTTTTTAAAAGTAATTTCCATCAAATTGAATTTAGGTTGCGTCTCAGTATGAACTAAAATAAAAGTATATATTAAGGTGTTGAAAAGTACCCGTACTGCAACGTAAAAATCAAAGATAAGAACAACATTTATTATGCTTCATGAGAGTTAAACATTTCATAACTTAAAAATAGTTCAGATCAAGTAAGACGCCATTTTTATGAAAACTTAAAAATCAACCTCAAGTATCAAGCAAAATATTATTAAACGAATTTTAGGATTATGATACAAATATATAAATATAATTTCTCTCATTTGATCACAGGTAGAAATATATATAACAAATATCATTAAAGGTATCGTAGACGTAATGAAAGTGACCCTCAGTTAAGGGATGGAGTGGCATGGCCAATTCAAAACAGTACCTTTTTAACTAGAATATCTCATTCGTAAATAACCAGACAAGGGTTTAAAAGGCACCTTAATAAATCAGACACTTCGCTCTATAAATGGAGGGTCACTAGAACTTACGTCTTCGGTCCCCTTGAAAATGAAAGTTTACGATTGGTTGATTTTTACATTCGAGTTTTTCACTTTAAAAGTCTTTAAATGTTTGTTTTCGAGGTAAAAATTTTGCAAATTGCAAACTTTTAAACCTTTTAAGATTTTTCATTTTGAGGTACCTTTTAAAAGCTAAAAACCCTTGAAAAACGAACCAAGCAATTACCAATTTACATTTTGAAACTAGGAACAAAACATGGAAGATTAATTAGAATATTAATATTAAAAGTTTACGGTAGTATTAACTAAGATACGGAACCGAATAGTAACCAGTACTTAACATAGAAATAAAAATATTTAATACCCAGACTATTACAATGTACATTTTACATTTTTTACAACTAGTACTTACATACAGTTATCTGATAAGGACAGTTGTATCTAACTAATCATAATCAAACCATGATTGTTATGAGCTCTAAATTTATTAGGTAGAAGTATCCACAGAGTAATTTCTTTTTCCCCCATCCCATAAAATGAACAATATACATGCCTACTTTCTACATTTTTAAATGTTAAAACATCTACAAATGATCTGGCAAAAAAAATTTGGAGGAAGCCCCCCCCCCCTGTACAAAATAATATAATATACCAAGGTGATATTTGGAGGAAGCCCCCCCCCTGTACAAAATAATATAATATACCGGGGTGATATTTGGAGGAAGCCCCCACTGTACAAAATAATATAATATACCAAGGTGATATTTGGAGGAAGCCCCCACTGTACAAAATAATATAATATACCAAGGTGATATTTGGAGGAAGCCCCCACTGTACAAAATAATATAATATTCCAAGGTGATATTTGGAGGAATGCCCCCACCGTACAAAATAATATAATATACCAAGGTGATATTCGGAGGAATGCCCCCACCGTACAAAATAATATAATATACCAAGGTGATATTTGGAGGAACCCCCCACTGTGCAAAATAATATAATATACAAAGGTGATATTTGGAGGAATCCCCCCCCCCCTNNCCCCTGTAAAAAATAATATAATATACCACGGTGATATTTGGAGGAAGCCCCCACCGTACAAAATAATATATCATACAAACAATGTAAAGTATAAACTAAAGCTAACAATCTTCAAAGTATTGACTGCAGTAAATAAAAATATGACATTATAATAATAACTTAAAATTACAATATATGTTAAGTACTTCTTTATATTGACTAAATAACTTAAAACAGCATTATTATTATGCTTTTTAAATCCGTAGATTTGCACAAATGATTAAAATAAATGCTGAGAAATTTGTGAAATGTTAACAGTTGAGACAACAAAACTTGAGAAATTGTTATGAAAAGGGTTTATGTGAATTACTTATTACAAACGAGAGCGTAAAATGGCACTGTCCAATTTCTGAGAGTATTTTGATTAAACTGAGGTTAATTGAACGAATATACGCAGAGGAAAACGAAATAGGATGGGAATAAAAAATATTAGTATTTAAACATGGTGCTGGGCGATTAAATCAAAAAAATGAATAATACCTTCGATTTCAATTTTGATTTATATCAAGCTTTTAAACAGCATGGATACACAAAAACACGGAAACAAAGAAATGCTGCAAATTAAAAATGCTTCTCTTTAATTACTTGTTAACTTGTAATTCGAAAAAAGCTTGTTAACAATTAAAACTTAGATAAAAAAGTAGTTTTCATTATATTGATATAATCGCCTACCACCGTATTTAAATTTTAACAGTTGTAAGGAAATAAAGGGAGGGGGGGGGGGNGGCAAAACTATTCACATACCTAATGATTAAAAACAACGAATTTTGTCGAAAGAACAATTGAGGAAAGTAGATTTACATCTTAATAAATATTTTGATTGCCTTATACAGTTTGCACGATGAAGTCGTGTACAAAGTCTTGTACATAGACTTACTAAGCCTTGAGATGTGGTAAATCCACGAGAATCCAAGTGTAAAGTTTCTTGAGGACCAGGTCAACCTTCCTGTACTTTAAGGAGTTGTACCCGTCCTTCGTGATCCGTTTAGCTCCGCTGTACAAGTACTTAAACCTCTCAGGGTTCGCCTTTTCCTTCCCATGTTTCAACATCTTGTATCTAGATCAGGAAATCATCACAATATTATTAACATAAATCAGATATTAAAAACAACCTGAGGTTCAAAATGTAAAAATCCTGAATAAAACCAATCTTGATTTGAACACAATGAAAAACTACATTTCATTCACTAGACAAGTTAATCTTGCTCATTTACTGTAACACTTAATCTACTTTGACTGAATTAAGACTACGAGAAAAACAATATGAACAGAACAAAAAATCCCTTTATTTGTTAACTTCAAACTTAGTGCAAGAGCCTTAATATCATAGAAGAAGTAAAAGTGAACACTGAACACAGTTAAAAAAGCTTTCTTGGTTGGTTGAATAGTTTCATTAATCAATGAATAATATTCTTTCTTACCCTTATTTTGTAAGTCATTTACCTGGCAATGTTAGCGGAATACCGGGATATTATCATTTACCTGGCAATGTTGCGGTATACCGGGATATAAACATTTACCTGGCAATGTTAGCAGGATACCGGGATAAAAACATTTACCAGGCAATGTTGCGGGATACCGGGATATAAACATTTACCTGGCAATGTTTCGGGATACCGGGATATAAACATTTACCTGGCAAAGTTGCGGGATACCCGGATAAAGACATTTACCTGGCAATGTTAGCGGGATACCGGGATATTATCATTCACCTGGCAATGTAAGCGGGATACCCGGATAAAGACATTTACCTGGCAATGTAAGCGGGATACCGGGATATTATCATTTGCCTGGCAATGTAAGCGGGATACCGGGATATAAACATTTACCTGGCAATGTAAGCGGGATACCGGGATATAAACAGTTACCTAGCAATGTAAGCGGGATACCCGGATAAAGACATTTACCTGGCAATGTTAGCGGGATACCGGGATATTAAAATTTACCTGGCAATGTAAGCGGGATACCCGGATAAAGACATTTACCTGGCAATGTTAGCGGGATACCGGGATATTATCATTTACCTGGCAATGTAAGCGGGATACCGGGATATT